GCAAATTCCCTTCTTAGAAAACATCCAAATGGTTGCCCTAACCATATTTAATACATTTTTATATTTATATTTTTTTGGAACTAACAATAAATTCTTGATTTGATGCATCAACGTCAAGAAAAGGCTATTTTTACTTGTAAATTTATTTTAGATCAATTTTTTCAAGTGAAAACCAATATCACTACTACTTGATTAGGGCCAACGTTCTTACAACAGTGTCGCAATGAAGTCTTTCTAAATAATATAATTTAAATAATGTTAGTAATAGAAATGAACTGAAAAAGTACATTATTTAAAGACCTAATATAATAATTTGTTAGAATACCGTTTATTCATTTATAACCTATATTTTTACTTTGGGTTTCGAATTCTGTAGCTTCAGAGTAATTTTGCCAATGTTCTTAATGAAAGATAAAGCTGAATTTAATGCCAAGTCATATGAGTTTTACCTGAAATCAAATCTGTGCAAAATCAAGCAAAAAGTTCGTTTGAATGCGTATTTTAAAATCGCTCAACTGCATGCCGCACTAATAGTTACGTTTCGGTCAAAACTCAAATGTGACGTCCATAGGTACATACGATATATATATATATATATATATATATATATATATATATATTGCATCAGATGCAAACTGGCTGTTATAATTGAAAAATTAGCTGCAATAACTGTCATTCTGTGAGTTTTTTATTGCCTTTATCTGAAAAGTTAAAAGCCTGGTGGGTGGCGGGCTTGGAAACGCAATAAATTAATGCAAATTTGATGTCGCATTTAATACGGACGCTACGTCATGGTAACATGGCCGACGTTTTTGCAGTTTGCAAAAAGCAAAATGCATCCAACGAATGATTAAATACCAAAAATTCAATTAAGATCACTATCCAAAATGAATGTTGGGAAATATCATGGCGATAGCGCGAAAGACCGACCGCGCGTCCGATTCGATTGGCTGAAAAACAAACGCGTTAAATTTTATTAGTCACGATTATAAAAGAGATGTATGGGTAGGAAATACTATACAAATGATTGAAAATTGATTATGGAATATATCTTTATTAGAACTACTATAAACTATTGTGATCAAATAATTTTTTTTTAAGTAGATGGGACACAAAAGTCTAATTTGAATTCAAGAAATTATATTATCCAAACCAAATGAACTACATCAAAACACATAATGCATATCAAACAAACAACTATAGTACTATGATCAGTAAAATTCCCACTTGATTTATAACTAAAAATGTGATTTTTTACCATTTTCATATAAAAGCGAGCTTCATCCAATCATGTGGTTATATTGGCAATATTGGCCCAATATTCAAACATTAAAAAATAATATTAAATAATATAAAATAATATTGAATCTTTTAAGTATAAAATAAATTATATAATAGATGCATTCGAGCTATAAAAACGTATCGAATAGAGATTCATAAATCTTAGTCTCCTGAGAGACTAAGAATTTTCTTAGTCTCCTGAGAGAGTAGAGAATGAATTCGCACAATCAGTTCAATTTAAAACAGAGAAAAATTTTATAATCTCATTTTACACAGTACAGTTTCAAAATCTAAAACAGTATGTATTTATTCCTATGTCGTGTTCCTATTGTCATCTGCGTTAAAAATACATGTCTCACATTTTGTATGTTTTTCTGTGATAAACAGGGCGTATAATATATACGTCCCCTTATTCTTTTGTCTACGACAATGAAATATATGGAAAGAATAACAAATCAAACAGCATAAAACTTATTTTTCTTACATTCGCTTCTTGTATATCTATTTTTATTGGATTTGTTTAGGGCTGAGGATTTTCAATTCGTGGAAGATAACTTATTGATGTTTAGCATCTTTTTGATAGATAGATAATATATTGTGGAATTTTTAGAAATATGTTTTCAACTTGTATATTTTCACCCTGACCTATGTTAAACTATTATTTTACACCAAGAAAATATCATTGCCAAGTATTGTCTGGGTAATATTTTTTTGTATTGTTTTGTATTTGTGCAATATAAATGATAGTTTTTAGAAAATCATAACTTACATATATTATACATATATATTTAAAAAAAATCTCTCGAAGATAATACTACCACAAGTATCTACCATATTCCCTTTTTTTTACCTGCGTGTAAGATTCTCTAATAAGTGGCTTCTAAAATAATTGAATATTACCATGATCATCTGACGTTTCTGTGAAGCAAAATTTAATCAATATCTTCAAAAATTCCCAATATCAAGAAATCAAACGACCAAGCATTCCTAAGTCCAAACTTCCTCAATATATCCCTAATCATTATTATTGACTGAACACGATGCAATCTGCTCCTCCCCAGCCCTGTTTAGCTGCAAGCTCGGAAAGCTCGAAAGCTCGTAAACGAAAACTTTGACAAGAAATCAAATATCCGCGGCTTCCATAGAAATTTTAGCCCCGAGAAGGATAGTAGCTGTTAGATGACCGGGGTCATTGCATATCACGTCATATCCGACAATATTTCCACACATGCCTCAGGAATAAAACCAATCGATATTGGACCAAGATATTCATTTGGGAGAATAGTAATAGAATATGAAGTGCTGGACAACTTTTATAGATTGATATTGCTTCTTGCATTTATATTACTATTTATTACATAACGCTTTGTTATGTTTGTTTTTGGTAGTGAAAATTGCAAAAATGTCTATTTAATTGCTTTATGATCAGGTGTTTTACACATAAAACTGTGTGTTATAAATGTGCAACACAAAGATGCAGTTCTCACAACATTTTTTCTTGCTTTGCTCATATGAAATTACATCTGATCGCACAGCCAATAGTTAGCATTTTCACAGTTTTTACTACCAAGAAATAAGCAGAACATTGCGCTCTTATAACAACGCTATGTTATCGACTGTGTTACTACAGAATTGGCCTATTAAAACGGTACAAAAAATTCTAGCAATTTGCCTTAGGGTACAACGTCATGCACCATTTCGTTTATTATTTCTACTTATAATTTAGTGAAAAATTTACAGAAATTCACAATCTCGATATCGAAGCATATGGGGTTGCGAAGAAAGCTCAGGCGGCAATTAACAAAATCGGTGCACCCTCATTATCCCGACCGCGAAACGTGCCTTGCATGGATTCCTGCAACTCTAATTTTCAACGTGTTACATATTGTGCACGAATCAGGCTCGAATTTGAGATAAAATATCACAAATAACTGAGAATCGCTATAATATACTTAGTTATTACTGGTAATTGCCTGTAGTAATTCACTTCACTCCAATAGTTTCATATTTTATTAATTTTAAATAAATACTCTCTAACTAAAAATGCTTACCTAATGGAGAAATTCACCTAGATGGTTTCTTCAAATAAAAAATTGTCGTTTTACTTGGAGTAGTTTTAGGTAATTCTCCCGTTTGTTAAAGGTTAAAATTGAATTTTGGATTATCATTCACGGGTAATTCAGATCTTTATATCATGAGTCTATTCCCCAAGTATTGTATTACTAAATGATTCGATTTCCTCCCTGTATTTTCCGCGGTGGAGGCTTCTAATGCGATTTCTCTCCCGAGACGAGCGATCATTAATACCTCACAAGAAACAAGATGGCTCCCGCAGAACATGCCGCGTCGCGACGCTTTCCAAGGGAATTTATAGGCAACTCGACATGTACGATTTTTTGCACTAATTTACTAAAACTTTACTAAAACTAGATTTTTGTGTTCTTTTTTTTTCATCTTTGAATTATAAAGAATAATAGTCTTGTAAATAAGGTCTCCATTATGAACGGAGAATTTAGATTTTGTCTTAATCATCATACATTTAAAATTAATATTTCATGACTTTTCTTATAAGCATCATGGCAGTTTTGCGAAGAAAATGCTTTGAGCATTGCTGAATCACTGGCTTAACATTAAAACAATAGGTTTGTCCATTATTTTGACTACATCCATTTATAAATTTTTGTTGCTACGTTATGTATGCATATTGAATCTCATTACATAATTTTTACATCCTAAGTATTGACCTGATGACATAAATCTACCGGCAAATTTTTGTACAAGCTTATAATAGCTAATCCACGAATATAAATTTATAACTCATGTACTAACCTACTCATTTTTTTGTAAGAATTAGTTTAACAAATAAAAAAATTGCAGAAAATTGTCTTAAATTTGAGTATAAGCAAGAGATACAGCTTATTCAAAAATAGGCCAGGTTTATCAATTTAAATCTAACACTAAATAGCATAATTCGTCTATTGATCGTTTACTAGTCCATCAGTAATGGTTGTTATGATGGTTTATGTATTAAAATTTGTTTTAAAATAAATTTTAAAGTTAATTGAACTCATACAAATACGTCAAATAACAAACCAATAAGTTGAAACAAAATTTTGGGCCACTTTTTTTGAAACAACTGAACTGAACAAAATTAACGCGTCATACAAAATTAATATCATTTATGTTTGAAATTTTAGTTAAATAAATTACGTATGTTGTGTCACACTATTATATCATTTAATTACTTTTTTCATTACCAAATAATTTATATAACCATCAAAATTCTATATTATATCTGGTTTCGTGCACCCACGCTAACAAATGTCCTGAAAAGCTCTTGTCAGATCTTCGTCGTGTTCGATGTCATTAATAAAGTATTATTAATTAATTATAATGCGCTACAGAGGAGCTCGTAATTAAATAAATGTTTATTGGATAATTAATATTCGAACAACGCGGCTGCTGGATAGATACTCGCGTTTAATACTGATGGCAGGATTTTGACGTCATATTAGAAGGATACTTGGAGCTGAGGGATTATGCATTATGGGATGGTAAACATTGAACACTCTCTTAGGTAGAATAATATGGTTGGGAATTTGAGGGATAAATATAGCTATGACTGTTTTTTAAATCACATGCTTATACAAAATGTAGACATATATTAATAATATAATATTTTTGTCATTTTTTTACTAATATTCTTTCTTTTATTCCAGGTGTGGTTCCAAAACAGGCGAACAAAATGGCGCAAAAAGCACGCTGCCGAAATGGCAACCGCAAAACGCAAGCAAGAAGAATTGGGCGACGACCTAGGAAGCAACGACCTAGGCGGCCAAGGTGGCGACCTCGGTGGCTCCCAAAACGGCTCCGAAGACTTATCACATGGGCATCCTTCTTTAACCCACTTGCATCACTCCGCCTCGCATTTGCATCACTTGCACCATTCAGATCACCACAGGCGAAATGATGATGATGACGAGGATGATGATGATGATGATGAGAACGACAATCGTGAGACGGCTGCCAAAAGGCTGAGGCGCGAACTTAGTGAAGCAGGGAGGGGTTTACTTGGACAATAAATAAATAAATAGGTTTTTAGTTGTGCAGTGTATAAACTTATATGTAAATTAGATAATGTGAAGGAAATTTTGCTATTTGAGGGAAAGGATGAGAAGATAGGAAAAAGAAGTATAGAATATTGAAAGTGATCAAGGTTTCTGGATACTGTCTCTAGAGTCTATCTGTTACAAAATGTTATCCCAAGATTTTAAGTGAAAATGTGATTTTGAAGATTTTGATCAAATTGGACTTAGATGGCAGGAACAAACTAGGTGCTGATGTAATTTAACCCATATTAGTCCATGACACTTAAAAGTTTCTCGGATTTTTTATTTTTAAAGGAGATTCTATTACATTCTGGATTCTATCTCAAATTGTACTAAATTGTATTTCAAGAATTCAAGTGAAAATGTGGTTTTGAAGATCTTGATCAAGTGGGAGGATTAATATTGGACTGTTTGAACCAATATTAGCCTATGACCAAACAATTTCAAAGATCTTCAATTTTTTATGATATGATAATTCGTTGATTTTTTATGTAATGAGAACTATTTATTTATTATTCATTAGTCTTGTGACTTGATGACTCATAAAAATACGCCTTATATTCTTTACCAATTTCTCAAATACTGCGTTCATGTTTGTCATATAATGAAGATAATGTTTAGAGTAATTTACTACTTTTCGAAGATTTGCCAAGTTGACCTTAATGCTAGGGTTTTTGATCATTTGGAAAGCTTGTAAATCACTTAGTTATGAGTTACATCAAGACTAATAAATAAATTTATAATGAATTTATCCTCTAAGTCTAAAATTAGTACCTACTCGTGGTACTAGTATGGGTTAAGATTAAAAATCATCGAAAACATTTTCCTGGACCAAGCTGATCTCAACATATTTTGGGAAAATTAAGAATGAAACGTGTCGAATAGCAAAATATAAAAAATACCAATATTTTATATTAAAAAATAACGAACTCGCAGTGAATTGTGATGGAATGAATCTCGTGTAATATATGGTTGTACATTTAATCTCTTTGATTGCAAAAATCGCTTAATTATAAAAAAAGTTATAAATATTATAGAACAAGTAAGTTATAATTTTGTTAAATACTAGAATAATCGATGTAATATATAATAATAATATTATAAACGATGTATAATTAATTATTAAATAATTCAGAACAGGTTGTATTAAGGTATATATGTATATGCCAGAAAATGTTTCGAATTTATTTTAAAAAGTGATAAAACACTAATTGTAAAAAATATTGTAGTGATAGGGGTAAGATATTAAAATAATATATATAATGTTTGACTAGAGCCAGATTTATGGAATATTGCTTAATGCAATATAACTATAAAGAACCAGTGATATAAAAGATTTATTAATTTTAATTTTTGTATTTATTTATAACAAAATTCGTACAAATTGGATAAATTTGAATAGTTGCGAGTTATTTTTGTCGTGTGATATAGTTGTGGATCTTGGTGAACAATATTTTAAAATAAGATATCCGTATTTATTTTTAAATTATCCGCCTAATTAAGAAAACTTAATTAGAGAGCTACAACAATTTTTCACAAATATAGCAATTTTTGTAAAATTTTCATTATAAAATGCTGATAATATTTTCTCGGAAGATTTTTCAAATTCTGAAACTGCTCAATATCAATAATATATAAAATTCTAATGTTTTTTTCAAATAATAAGGTATCCAGATATCTTAACTCTTGAAAAACGCATTTATTTATTAGTTTAATAAATTGAAGTTTTAGAGATTTAGCTTTAAAAATTTGTTCACCAAGATTTACTGAATAATTATTATTTGAATTAAAAATACATTCCATATTTAGTAATTTAAAATAAATCTCATCGATCATTTTTTATATCAAGGCATCATCGTTTAATTTTAATTTGGTTTTAAACTGCTAAACAATTTTTTAAACTGTATTTAAGATTTAAATGTCACAATATATTTGTAGTGTCCAGTGCAATCATAGGCTAAAATAACAAAAATAATTTAAATTTTATCAAAGGATTCATTTTTAATAAAAATTTTATTCATAACTGTATTATCTTATTTATATCAGGACAAAGTGTTTGGTTATGAAATTTGATATAAATTGTTCCGTTACTTGTAAATATTTTTTACATTATTAAAGATAATTAAATGTTTCACAATCTATGATAAAATTTAAATAAATTGTCACAAAATTGTTGCATGTAGTTCATATACATACATAAAACCGATATGTAACTATAATAAACACTAATTAATATTTATAATATATGACACAGAAATAAATATGTTAAATAAAAACTTGTGTAATTATTTTATCAACAGAATTTATTTCTTATTTTTACGAGAGAAGCTTATATTTTTGGCTAAAAATCCGACTTGCTGGAAAAAAATTTGGAACGTGGGTACAGGACGTCTGTCGGGTCATCTAGTATATATATATATATATATATATATATATATAGTATGTCTTTTATCTCCTCTCGGCGCCTTTCTCTTCTTCGCGGTTTCTCAGGTTGCCATGGCGACAAATTGATACCGGAGAGGAACGCCCGTATCACAATTCTTAACCTTGATTCTGCCTATCACCTTTCTTTGCTTCTTAATGGACCATTTTATAAGGCGAACGGTGGTCGAGGATAATCTGATTGGTTTGAGAAATATAGCTTTGCTTATATATGGTCATAATTTTATAACCTTATTCTCGGCTTTACGACAATATTTGTAGCACCTATATAATATTAGATTAGATTTATAAGTAACTTTATTAAAAGTTAATAATATTCAGATTAGTTATAAGTTTTAAAAGAATATTGAATCTGTTTTTACTAGTTTCATGTTTACTTCATCATATTCATCAAAGGATAATCTAAAAAAGTATTTCTATTTTTTCTATCATCAGTCACTTGAAATTTCATTAATCAGACTAATGAAAAGAGCTTGAAATATTTGAATGGACAATATTTATTAAAACTTTATTAAAAGAGCACCGTAAAATATCGAATTTTGTAAGGGATATCACCCTTAGTTGAGTTTAATTCAGCATGAACCGAACTAATCATATTAGGGCGTATGAACTTCGTTGTCCCGAATCAAGTGACAACTGTTTGTAAGTGCATTCTAATTGAATTAAAACAACCCCTAAGTAGGATTGATTTAGAAAACAAATTTAATTCTGGAGTTCTCGGTTGTTTTTTAACTAAATTTCACAACATTAAAAGATGATTAAATGTTGTGTAAGATGAAGATTTTTAAGCCAGCTTTATATCTTGGTTTTCTCTAACTTTGGAACCACAGGGCTCCAGATATGATACTCACATCGGACTGCCTGTTATCAAGTAGTATTGATATCAACTTTCACTTAAAAATATAGATCATTTGTTTTCAAGTGCATAAACATTCTTAGTGCATGGTAGGATGATGATTTTTAAGCCAACTTTGTATCTTGCTTTTTTTTCGGCATTGGAACCATAAGGCTCCAGGTACGATAGTCACATCGGACTACCCGTTATCAAGCAGTTAATTAATTTTTACTTAAAAATATAAATCCTTTGTTTTCCAACTTTATATCCTGGTTTTCTTCAGCCCTGGAACCATAGGGCTCCAAGCGCGATACGCACATCTAACTACCAGTTATCAAGCAGTATTGATATCCGTTTCACTCAAAATTAAGAATTCAAATTTGTTTTTAAGTGCGCTTTTCACCACTAATGGTGCATCAAATCAAAGTCAGTATTGGAAAAGCCCTAAAATTTAAATTGTATCAAATACAGATAGGCCAACCGTAGGATTGCCTTCTAAAAAGCACGGTTGTTAAGGTTTATTACAACTGGTCAATGTTGATCTCTGATACCAGTTCAAAAAATAAGAAAAAAATATATATATTTTCATTACTTACTCAGTGAAGCCTTATAAAATCCTGCCATTATCCTTCTGTTTTTACAACCCATATAATAAGACATAATCCATTTAATATGATAACGCATTATTCAGGATAATACAATGTATTTCAACATTCATTATATCTTATATGTCATCATAAAACAAAACTTTATCGTTTTCTCAGAGAGCACAATAAATGGACATTGTCAAAGTTGATTAAGTTTGTGTTTTGAATGTTTCTTCTTCGTCTATAAACGTTTAGGTTGTAAAGTACAAAGTTGCCTCACCTATAGAACTTTAGAAATATTTTATTATATGTACCTATAAAATAATATAAAATAAAATTTATGGAAAAAGTAGTGTCGAATCGGATGTAAATCTCGATACTTAATAGTTTATTGGTTTTGGAATTGTTCGTTTATGACACGTGGTGTAAAGGAAACATACTAATTTGCATGTAATTGGCTGATTATTGGAAAGACTTATTATTTTCGATCAAAATTTGTTGCATTCAAATTTAACATATATCAGCATTTCGAATTGATATTTCTAGAACTGTCACCTGTCAGAAGTATTGCATTTAGAATTGAATCTCTGATTGAGCAGAATTTAAAATAAGCCAGCATTTATGCAATACTCTAAATATCTCTAAAAATTCGCGCATTTTTATAAAAATATTTATACTGATTAGTGCCATCATAAAACAAGCATTCATAATAATAAAATTTGAATTGCATTTAATTTAATCAGTAATAAAATAAAAAAGGCTCACTTCCACTTCAAGTAAATTTTTCAGTCAAACAGATTAATGTTTATATAGCCTAATAATGTAATTATCCATTTCCTATCAAAACTAATAAAAAAACGTATCGATTATAAACTACTCTATTGACAAAAAACCTTAGAAATTTATAACATCATTAAAAATGAGAAGTTTTAAAATGCCCACGCTCTAATGATCCGAAATCAGTTTACAACATCAGTTCCACTTCAATAAAATATAAATTATTGATAGCATTAAACTATTATATAGTAGGTCGTAAATAAGTTAAAATTTGAATCCGATAATATAAAACTACAGTAAGCTATGAATGATTATCTCTTTATTGCACAACTTTATTTTCTGAAGTCATTATCTGCTGTTATATTGTCAGAAGATTTTTGACGCCTGTGGCTATCTTGTTAATAATGATCAGAGAAATTCTTGTTTGGACACTGATTTAGATCATTTGTATAAAAAATGGTTTATTGCAAACTGTTTTGATTAAACAACTAATCAGATCAAACAATAATTATAATCGTTAGGAAACGGTCAGTATGAAAATTGGTGGTCAGATTCGGTATGTCATTGCCGA